GCTGAAATTTTACCACTCATTTTTATGGACTACAGTGAACAGCTTGATGAAGCAGTGCAGTTATTATGATAACATATGAAAAGGATGACTGGACTCAAGCCAGTGTGATAGTGATGAATGCCAAATCTTAATTCGTGTTATTTTGATTAATATTAATTACATGTACATAGTGTTCTATTGTAAAAGAGAATCTGATTTGATGCTGTATTAATGTTAATTTTGTGCCCCGTCTCAATTATGTGTTTTGCTATTGATGAACTTGGTTTTCTACCTCCTACATTAATCGGATCATTTGACACACACTGATTTTGAAGCCATCTGGGTACATAGTGTTCTGTTGTAAAAGAGAATCTGATTTGATGAAACATTGATTGCAATAATCCATTAAGGATATTTATGAAGGTGGATGAGATTATCACAACCACCATTTTATATTTACATCAGCAAAGGCTATCATCACCCCTGTGATATGGGATTACACAATTTCATGACAGCAAATTGTTACTCGTATTCCCTAAACCCTATTCAAATAACAAACCCTGGGTAAACTATTGCACTTCATTGAAACGTACTTCACTAAATCAAATTCACAAGGATCCGATCGGTGTATAAACACGAAATAGGTAAACCACTCTATGAATGGTTTAAATGAGGGAAACAAAAATATTTTACACATTTCATTATTTCAAGTTATACATAGTTTACTGAAACAATAAGTCACATATTATTGAAATGTTTCATCAGATGTGTCGAGATATTTAGCAACAAAAGAGATTTCCTATATGGACTAGTAAAGAATGAGACGATTGAAATGACAGGAAGAAAAGTTAAAATTAGATTGATTTACTCATCATGATTTATTTCAAAATTATTTCAGTTTTGTGCTAATGTGGTATGGTAACTTGAACAGCTACATATATATGCCTGGTCCTACGTTGTAGCTGACTGACGTTCTTTAATTCAAGGTGATGATTACCCAATGCGGTTTCTGTTTCTGGTTCCCCTTGTGATATTTTGTTCTGTATAACATACGATATTCCTGTATTGAGTTAACATGAACTATACTGATCATGACATGTAGAATGTGATTTGTACCGTATTTTTCATATATGCGGATTTATCCTAATTATTAATCAAAACATAAATGAGTGTATTTCCAACTAAGATCGATTTCTTAGCACAAGCGACTCCGACACAACAATCGGCGACTACCAGATACAACAAGTAGTATTCAATCGAGAAGACATATCAACGATGCATCCGGCTTGCGAGAGATTGGTATAAAGCTAGTTCAAATCAGATAATTACAGCACGAAATCTACTGTCTATCACCAAACAATGAATCCAATACAAATCGTTGCATAGATTCGGTGTCAACAAGTGTCGCATTCACGTAAGAATTTCACTATCAGGCAGCGCTTGTAAACATTAATGTTTTATTTTCTTCATATTACACGAAATTACTGTTGAACTGATCCATTCGCATGCATTTCATTTGTACAGGAATGCTCACTGACCTTAGGCGTTAATTGATATTTTTAATTTCAATTCAGAAACCTGATTTACACTTCTGACTTGTGTAATATCAGGCTGTTTATAGATTATTTCACAGCTGAAATTCACAAACTTGCTCATTTGGTTTTCTGGCAAACATTTATTTCGAAGTTTATTGAGTGGAAATTGTAAAATGTATCCTGAATTACTGATAGCGATGAACATTTAACCGTTTTGTTGAATTCTACACCTGAATAGTTTGATTTTCAACAATATCTTCAGTTAGGTAGCACTCTAAATGTGCAAATTATTGCAAAACATGTTTCATCAACAATATGGACAGATTCGAGCCATAAGTACTACACTTTGACCACACTTGATTAGTGTTTCGCTTTCGTGTCTTCATACTATATTTACATTTGTCCAAATTGAATGATTATACACACTGTTTATCAACTGATCAATTTGCTTCATTCAATAACTTTTAGTTAATTGGTTCACTCACAGACTTTATATTCTCCATCCTAATAACTTCATTCTTTCTAATAAATAAAACTAATACTCAAAAGTTAATTTCCCATCCGTCGTAAAGATGTTCTGAATATTCAGTTTAAGATTTGTATGCACACACTGTCATCTCCTTCACACTTATTCCAACTGTCTTCCGAGCATCATCTCTCGACTAAATTGATATAATACAATATACAATCTCAACTGTATATTACGTTAAACTATAAAATGTCAGGGTGTGGAATATTTACAGTTTGTCTTCCATTTTTAAATCGTTTAGTCAAAATAAAATGAATCAAAATATCTTGATCTTGGGTGGATATATTAATCTAATCTAAGTTTACGGGTTAATAGAACAAATGAAGACTGGTTGATGTGTAATGACTTTCATATTCGTGAACTGAAGGGAATGGATATATTTCATCACTTGTTTGATTGCGAACTGTTTCATCAATATTGTCTTCAATTTAGACATAATTTTCTGAATATGATATACTAGATGTTTCTGTGAACCCGTTTTTACCATATTTATAAACTACATGATGGTAATCAACTGAACGAACTGTTATTTACGCTGTCACTTCCAAGCAGTTTTCACAGTTGCATCATCAGTAGTGTACCATTACAAAATTCATATAAAATCAGTATAGAGACCTCATTATTACTTCTCATTCTTCAGAATGCAAATATCAAACGAATATCTGAGAGATCGGATTGACTATAACCTTAAACGTTGTTTATTATCATTTATTGCAGTGGCTAACTGAGAACCTAGCTCACCACTCTAATAGGCTTCGTTTTGGCAATTAAGCTAACAGAAGGTCTATCTAAAAAATTAGTTCGTAATGTTACGAGATAACAATCAACATGCCTAGTAAATTTCCATCGTGCAAGTCAAGAAATGATGCCGAAATCCGTAGGTTTAACTAAATAATGTATATTATCTTTATTTTCTTGTCAGTATATTTTAGTAGGCCACAGAAAGAAGTCTGGTATTGTTGCAAAATATTTACTTTAAAAACATTTTAAAAGTGAAATGATGCGATATGATTTTTAGTTCTCATTTTGTTAAAGGTTAGGTCAAACAATGAATAGTTATTCTGTATGATCAAATGATTGATTGCAAACATTGAATCAACGCCTTCCATACTTCTGAACACAATGAAAAATAATGTTCAATAAATCGATTATGTTTATAAACATTGGAAAAATGTGATTCAGTGGAGAATTAAGGGGTATTTCAAGGCTGTTTGTATAAGATAGATCAATTTTCTTAAAATTATACATAAAGTATTGAAACTAAATTCTTGTTCGGAGACTGGAATTTAATTACACATTCACATTCGGTTGTATGAAATAATCAAACACTTAAATGTCAATAAAACTACGTAACTATAATATCTGCAACCAACGTAATAGTGAGAGAACCAAGTTTCCAGTCTGTTGGAATTCTGCAGTAATCTGAACAACATTTCGAAAGTATTCTCATTTCAGCTTCCTAGAAATCCTATTGGATACACGTATCCCAATGCTTTAACAATGAACAATTTAAAATTTCAACAAAAGATTTGTAAATTGTACTAAAATTAAGCGGAAACTAATCTCAGAAGGAAAGAACTATCTTTCGGAATGAAGGAAAAACAAAACACCTAGTCAGGTTTCTGAAATATAATGGTAGATGTTAATCGATAAACGCTAGTTAACCATTTGATATATTTTGAAGATTTCGGTCATTAGAATAAGTCAGTGTTGGAAACATACTTAAGGAAAGTTAAACAATATCTTCTTTTCCAGTGTTAAAATCAGTGGTTAGGGTTTGAATACTCAAACATGATTAACAGTCATTGTATATGCTCAAACTAAACATGAGATCAATTTGTTAGTTTGTTGGAGCAAAAGCATGAAGTGTTTCAATAGTCATTAAATTGTAAGCAACTTACATCGATCTAGTGATGAATAAAATGTTGTAAAAGAACGATTTCAGATGCTTTTCATCAAAAGTAGAAACTGTTTAACAAAATGAATTCAACGATTAAACTTGATAAGCCACGTTCCTTATCGATTACGTATCTTTGAAATTTGTAGAGAATGTATTCGCATATGAGGTTTTCGTAGATTTTTACAGCATGGATAATGTCCTCACACGTGCTGATTTACTTATTTGGTGACTGAATATAACAGTTACTGGTGGAAAATTAAACGTAAATGACAACTTGTAATCATGTATCATTGTAAAGGCAACTTTGAGAACCTTATCAAAACGTCAAAATAACTTGAAATACAACTTACATCTTGTGGATTGACTTTCTATAATAGAAATATATATATATATATATATATGTTGAGAAAGAGAGAGAGATTGATTAAGTTTAATCAGAAATGTAAATTCTGTCAGAATGACTTGACAGGAACTTTACAATCTTATCAGTTGATGAATTCCATTAAATCCAGAGCACTAATATAATTGTACCTTTGTATATTGGCACTAATTATAAATTTTATCTGCTCTTCACTTCATTAATAACGTTGATTTTCAGTAAGAGGTTGACGACTCTAACTTTACTGTTTCTCTTCATTTAGATTATTTTTCGTCTTAATATTCACTGAATTACTTTCTAATGTTTTGTGTTGTACTCGATTATTTATTAAGATTAATGACAGTTCAAACTGATACTAGAAGTTTCGATTTCAATCATCAGTAATAAGAATCTGTCGATATTTTGTAAGAACACGTTTCCTGAATATATGATACTGCGTGATGTAAGATTTACCAGTCTAATCAGAAGTTAAATGTGTTCAAGATGGAATACTGAAGCGAAATTAGGTGTTCAACAAAAATGATGTGTACGTGGAAAGTGATCATGAAAGGTGATACGTGTGAGTTTGCAGTAAATAACAAAGAATATTAAACAGATAAAATTTTTCAATATGAGAAAATTATTTATCTCGATAAATTGATATGAATTGTCCTTCAAAACAATGGAATGACGGAGAACGTACATCTTTATTTTGATGTTCTCTTTCTTTTTGCTGAACAGGAAATAAAATAAATTTAAACAAGACATTGTGCTAATTGTATACGAACGTTCGTCTAAATTCGAAATAATAGATTCACAATAGTTGATCGTTGAGTTCATGTAAGACATAAAGGAGGAAATCATATTTGTGAAACAATCAGTGAGTGAACATATCATTCAGTAGTCTGATTTAAGCTTCTTTAATGAAATTCAATAAGTATCAAACAATCAGACATAAATACATGGTCTATACATTGTTATTTCTTCACATTATAATACGATCTGGATAATTTGTCTTATACATGGATAATATATGAACTATTTATTCATAATAGATAACTGTGTTCCTCATTCATTTCCCTTGAAAATGCTCAAATCAAACTACCGAGTGAAATGCTTAGTTAATTGAGATTCTCACAATTACAATTTCCTCCATAATAAGTTACATGTTTTCCACACTTGATCTGAATAAAACACCCAATTATCCGTTTCATATTCAGTGTAGATTAAATTTACGTAAATCGTGCCAGACAACATTTCGATTGATTGACATCAATCCTCTCAAAACGTTGCTCGGTGATAAATGGTTACAATAAATTCTGAAATGTACTAAGCAGGAAATGAGTAAAATGAATGTTATTCAATTGTAGTTAAATATTCTGTTCTAGTATTTATCCAGTTGGAAATTTAAGTTTTCTGTACCGAAACATTTCATGATTTAAATAAACACAATAAAATTCTTCTATGCAAACGTACCAATCTGTCACCCAGACTTCCACTAAAATAGGTAATAAGCGTTATTGATAATAAAATTGCAGTCAAAGTGACTAATCATAGTAAAAATGTATTCAGTCATGAAGTGACCAAACGATCCAAAATAAATCACACCATTCACGCTCAACGGTATTATTCGAGCTTATTTTGGTAATTTAATGTTTTATACAATCTTGTAAGTTATTAAAACCTGGACGCGATAAAGGGTTTTCAATGTTTACAGATTATGTTATGCCAGGTATTTCGTGTTATCACCAAATGTGATATTGAAAACTGAGTTCTATCAGTTCATATTTACATGGGAAATCTTTGCATATGCAATTCAGAAATAGATATCACCGTAAATTAATTATGTTTCAGATGATACATATTTGTTGAATTATTAATGCTAATACTGTTCTATATGCATATAATAGTCAATGCACAAGGAACCATATTAGAAACGTCAAAATACTCACGTGGCTCCCACTGACAGTCCTCTAGAAAATAATATTTGTATTGTTAATTAAGAAACGAATTGTGAATTTATGTTGATGGCAGATACAAACGGTGAATTCAAAAACGATATACTAAATTCTTCAGTCATGAAAGATTGCGATTATTAGTGTGATTCGAAAACTGATGTTCGGTCTGAAGTGGATAATTGAAGGAAATTTTGTGACGAATCCACAACTGATGATAAGTAATTTTAAAGAAACTTTGTAACATTCGAGTGTAGGTAACAATAAAAGCGACATAATTTTTCGAAATTCTATTCCTCTAATATTATTTTTCCATTTCTAATTTGGAGGACTCATTTGCCCATCTTTAAATGGCATTTGGTCATAAACTAAGCATATATTATTCATCTCAATACAGCATACATACGAAGGGCGTATATATTATTTTGATTCCAGAAACAATTCTACGACAGATTCTTGAGCATTCAGTCACAGTTTAACATTTATACAGAAATTGTATGAAGCTTCAGACGAAAGGCACTAGTAATTCACACAACTAACGGAAAAGAACATTAGACGAATGAATTTCAAAATAACTTTGAAGTCAAACATTCAATCTTTTTTCGTAAACTAACACTAAACCGAAACATAATCCAGTTATCTCATACAAAATAACACATTTTGTGTGACATTCAAATACAAATATACATATTCGTGTAGATTGATGAAAAGTAGATCGGTTTAGATGTGATCCATTCCTAATTTGGTGGTGCCGATAGTATTTATATTCAATGGATATTTTAAGATGGATTTTACACATACTTTATTATGTACACGATGCATAAATGAGTTAGTTAACCAATGTAGTTCAAAATACTAAAATAAACCAGTTTACGGATGACCTACTGAGAATAATCATAATTATGGAAACGGAAATACTGTCATCTTATCTGTTCAGTGAAACCTGTTATTCCTTTGACAATAATTGCAGTTTGGAATTTTCTCTATTGGTAAACAAATCAAAGCTTCATTCTGTGATAAATTCTGTGAGATTATGTGACTCAATAATGATTGTTTCATGTGAAACGATTTCAAGGAATATACGGAAACTTATCAGAATAGTTAAAACATTGCTTGTTAATGAATTAGTCTTGTACAATAATTCTATATTGCAATAATTCACTTACGATCCTCTGTAAAATCAACAGTATTAAAATAAGAAATTGTTGATTAATATTTCAATGTTAAGCAACGTGTTTGTGAAAAGATTTCGCAACTAAACCGTTGGAATGACAAAAAGGGAGACAAAGATGGTCAATAGTGATTGCTAATGCATAAATATTGGGTGTGTATATCTTCAACAAATCACAGTGACATTTGAGAACAGAAGAGATGTAAATATAATCCTATTACCTTATAATAAATAACACATTTTATGTGACATTCAAATACAAGGAAATATATTCTTGTAGCTTGATCAAAGGTAGATCGGATTATATGTAGTCTATTACTAATTTGGTGGTACCGGTAGTATTTATATTCAATAAATATTTTGAGATGTATATTAAAGCTCATCAGTAGAGTTAAAATAAAGCTTGCCAATGAACCAGTCTTTTAAAATAATTCTATATTGCAATAATCCACTTACTTTTGCCTGGGAATCCAACAGAAATAAAAAGAGAAATTGTTAGTTAACGTTTGATTATCAAGAAACGTATTCGCGAAAAAATTTCGCAACTAAACCGTTGGAATGACAAAAAGGGAGACAAAGATGGTCAATAGTGATTGCTAATGCATAAATATTGGGTGTGTATATCTTCAACAAATCACAGTGACATTTGAGAACAGAAGAGATGTAAATATAATCCTATTACCTTATAATAAATAACACATTTTATGTGACATTCAAATACAAGGAAATATATTCTTGTAGCTTGATCAAAGGTAGATCGGATTATATGTAGTCTATTACTAATTTGGTGGTACCGGTAGTATTTATATTCAATAAATATTTTGAGATGTATAGTTAAGCTCACCAGTAGACTTAAAATAAAGCTTGCCAATGAACCAGTCTTTTGAAATAATTCTATATTACAATAATTCACTTACGCTCCTCTGTGAATCAAACAACAATAAAAAGAGAAATTGTTAGTTAACGTTTGATTAATAAGAAACGTATTCGCGAAAAGATTTCACAACTAAAGCATTCGAATCATTAGAAAGGAGGCAAAGACCATTATCTCTTATGAGTACAGGTAAAATATTACCTTGTAAAAAACTAGCTGTTTTAAATACTTCTTTTATCTTATATAGCTCAATATACTACTGATCATACTTAGTTACATATAACACGTCATCCAACAATAAATTCGAGCTTAAAGATAATAAACGAATAATTGGTAGTTATTTTGGAATTCAACTGAGATGAACTACTTACCCATAAACCTCTAAAAATAATTTGTAGATTAATGTTTGTATGTTATTTTATCAACCTATATTACTGTAATTTTTTAACTTCCTATTCTATAGATATTCATGTTTTACTAATACAAATACGCAATATTCTACTTATATTTGCATAGTCACAGCCGATTTTCACTTTTTATGCACACTATAGATATGAAAACATTTATGTTATTCGATTGTAGTTCTGTATTCTCGTGAAGGAAAAGTAATGTATTCATGAGAATTGAAATACGACATGTGTAGTTGGTTAAGAAATCCTGACATAGAATACAGTGTTATTGGTGAACTGTTTCTCCAATTAAGTCAACTTCAAACTTATCAAGATCGACCTGTTTACACTTTGTGATAATTAAAATAAAATGTTTAGTTTGTTCGAAACTATTCATGTTCACTTTATTATTTCTTTCTCTATCAAATATTACTAGTAATGCAGTACGTTCGTTTGGCTAACGAAGACCCTTAGTTACTATTAGTCTGAGACTTACCCACATATGAATTTTGCAAAAGTGAACCAAGAACCACTATCAATGCAATGAACAGAAACATTGTTCTTTTGAAATTAAAGTGGTTAGAAAATCTGTGTTTATATACACTTTTAAAAGTGAAATGACGTGTACTGTGTATCTTGTGACTAAATAATAGCTTTATTTTTTCCATAATTAAGCCGTGCACAAATATTTGATTGATGGATTAGTGTGAATTTAACAAACACTGACATAAATTTACACTTGAATAATTAATAGTTGTGACTAGAATTAACATTAAACGTGATCAGAAAAATGAATTATTTAGTTTCCTTTTCAACTAGTTTGTCCAAATTATCCAGTGTTCCCTCTCACATAAATGAAACTATGTGACTCATAAACTAAGAAAAAGTACGTGCTTTTAGTGAATAAAACATTTGCCACCAAATGAATATCAGTTCATACATGAATTATAGAAGGTAGAGTCTAGTCAATAATAACAGTGCACAAAGTGGTAAGTTGTTTGCAAGTATTTGATTCATTCACAGAAAAAGCAAACTCACGTTTGTAGTGTAGTCGTTAGATATTGATGATGATGTTCAATAAGTTATAAAGTTCTAAGTGATACTATGCATTTTTCACAGCTTATGTTTATCTTCAAGCATTCATAGTCTGTGATCGATCAGTCTCTGATTGACAAATGTGCATCCTATGCGGATCACCTCGATACTACATTGTCACAAGCAAATACATCCAGATGACGAGTCCCAAGTAGAATGATAAGGGTATCACCATCTATCTCTAACAAAGCAATGCTTTTAAGTTAGTTCTGGTTGTTGAAAAGGTAAAATGTTGTTCCAAAATCGTCATAGTGAGTTCGTTATCTTCTAAAATGTATTCACGACCTTTTGTCACAAAATCTGAATATATTCTTTCGAATGAATGTACACTTTCTATATTTTACCATTATCGGTTTTCGCTTGACAGCTAGTGGCGTTTGTTCTGTTGACTTCATGGCTAGCAGTAAAACCATTGATGGTTATTTATAACTACCATTAGGAGTACAGCGATGCTGAACTCTCATATTTGGATAAAACAGATACTCACAGAATAACAAGTATAATAAATCTCGGAACATTTCGATACAAACAGAGTAGCACCTCTGTAATACGTTGACAAGACTATGGGTGCTGAATTTTGTCAACAGATACATAAATTCATTATTTGGTGGAT